TTATTTCACATTTTTTAAAGGAATATATCCATAATTAATTACTGTTCTGTGATATATAGGATAATTGTTAATTTCAGTGTAATATCACATTTTATTTATAATTAATTTCACAGAGTGGATACCTAAAGTGTTGTTCACAAAGTGGCGCAGCCATGTTGTTCACAAAGTGGCGCAGCCATGAGTTAAAATAACAACTTTTGGTATTCAGAAGTGAACTTATCACGATATTTACATTGATACAGTATACATGAATGTGTTTACTTTATGTCTAAAACTCCACTAATGTTTGGTTCCTTTCAATAAAAGGTTGAAATATGCGAGAAACTTTTTATCAAGAAGCATCGCAAAGATGAAGTCATTTTATTGACGTTGTCATATTTTTTTCCGAATTTCAGTATACTTGGTTAACTTTTTTGATATTTATATAGTTATAAAATTCGATAATTTTTTTCACAAAGTGGCTAGTGAGTCAGGATATAATTCAACGTTAACTTCCATAAACCATTGAAAATTGATAAAAGATTAATGAAATTCTTATTGAGAATGATATTAGCACATAGAAAACTGATCCAAACAGTAACGTTTCACAAAAGGTTACTATAACTATTGATATTAACAATTGAAATGCATTAAATTGTAAATACTATTGTTATTTCTTGCCTTTATTGTGGTTTTTGTTGAAGATATGAGAAATGAAGCTGGTTATTTTTACAAACTGGTACAAACTATTTGTTACTTTTCATCAGCTGCATATTTTTTTTACACGTCTATAAACAGTATTTCTATGTGCCAAGGTTTTGTTATTATATTTGTTACTTTTCATCAGCTGTATATTTTGTTTACACATCTATGAACAGTATTACAACTGTGCCAAGGTTTTGTTTTATAATATTTGTACATTTCACAAGCTGTATAATATTTTTTCTTTCAGCACTATCATACCAAAGTGTAATATATGGTTGTAATGAACAACTTTTTATATTTATTCATGTAGATCTATTTCATTTGTCCAATACAAAGATATCTGAAAATTTAAATATCATATAAAACATGGATACTATTTCATTTGAAAATGAAAGTAATTGGTAGATAAAAATTTGTAATGAATTACAATAAATGTATAAAACTTTCCTATGAATTATGTAGAAATTTAAAAAGACATGGGAGTAGGTTTGCAGTTGTGTCTTTGAGAATCTGTATATATATGATACACTCTTACCATAATTGAGATTACTAAATAAAGTTAACATTGTTAAAGCATATACATTGTGTGTTGTTTTCTTGCAGGATAATAAAGGCTTTGTGCCATAATCTGTCTGTTCCAGTTAAAACATCACTTGAATATTTAATGCAAGTACAAGAATTATGCCAGTTGCAACTTAAGGTCCAGCAAACTTATAATTGAAGTACTTGAAAATAGATCTATCCCGGAATTCAAAATCTACCCATAATGGAAGTATCTGGGCTGCCCATTTGAAACCCATATTTAGTACAAGGGCTGCCCATTTGAAACCCATATTTTGTACAAGGGCTGCCCATATGGGGCCCATATTGAGTACATGGGCCGCCCAGGTGGGGCCATGTGATCCCATATGGAGTATAAGGGCTGCCCAAGTCTCAGATTTTGATAAGATTAAAATACAGGGCAGCATTGCTGCAAATGCAATAAAAAGGTTATGATACAGGGCAAGTGTTCATTAAGACAATACTGGTATACTTGAACGGCATTAACTTTGGGCCAATATTTTAATAAGTGTGCCAATATCTTTCTTAAGGCACACTTTTGCTGTAAAAACCTATAATTTATGTCATCTAGATCTGTTTTTCTTCTTTTTAGAGATAGGTCTAATAAAACTAAAATATTTGAATAAATATCAAATTGTTCATTATCTGCAACGAAAATAAATGGCGTAATCAATAAACAGACTCAGGCTGTGAAAGGTTATATATTTCACAACACAATCGACACTCCAGTACTTTCAGTGCTTTGATTTATCTAAGGTTAGAAATCTGGAAATAAAGTGATCCCTCGGAAGCATTAATCAAAACAAAATTACAAGAGAATTGCACAAGAGAATTGCAGACTCGGTTTGATTGAGTCTGTACACGAGGGATAATGAATACGTGCAACATCCCTCACGCCCCCTAGCACCGGCTTGAGGAGCGGTACTCAATTCTCAACACTTAATAGCACTGGCATCAAAGATCCCGACGGACCATAAAAATATAACAACGCTGAAGTGAAGTACGGGGCAACTTTTACAGCTGCCACATAGCACTTGACAGCTGGCCTGCTGTTGTGAAGTATAAAAATCTGGAAACAAAGTGTTCCCTCGGAAGCATTAATCACAAAAAATATACAAGAGAATAGCATACTCGGTTTGATTCAGTCTGTACACGGAAGATAATGAAAACGTGCAACATCCCTCACGCCCCCTTGCACCGGCTATTCTTAACACTTAATAGTGCTGGCATCAATGATCAGTGATATATATTTTAG